GCAAACCTTTGAATGAGTGAATCAGATCTGAGATTCAAGACTTGAGGCTCGTTCACACCAAAAAATTATAATATATTAGTGTCCACACCAATGAACAATTACATTTAGTTATTATAAGCGCAAACTGCAGTGATGTCGTCTGCCGCTTTAAATGCTCGACCTCTTTAAATTCAGCTGCATTCTGATTGGCTGATTGTCAACATTTTTATCAGCTGGACAATCAACAATATCGTTCGTCTCTTTCATTATCATTATAGCTGTGGTATGGACATACACTCTAAAAAATAAAGCTTCCAAAAGGTGGTTTTCACAGTGAAGAACCATTTTGGGTTTCCCAAAGAACCATTATTTTCAAAGCACAAAGAACACATAACCATCTGAGGAACATTTTTCCACTTGTACAATGGAAATGTTCTTCAAAGGTTCTTCATGGAACCACAGATGACAATAAAGAACCTTTACTTTCAAGAGTGAACCTATTCTCATAGAATTAGAATGTTTATTAAAACATATAGTCATCATTATTGGTGTGAACAGCCCTGTAGATTGTAGTGCATGATATGTGTGGGCTCTTTTTAAGGTCCTTTTGGTGACATTCACTTTAATTGTACACAAAATGGCTTCCAAACATCTCTTTTTAGGTTCCACCAAAAAAAAAAAAAGAATATCATACGATTTTGGAAAGACATGAAGGTTGGTAAATAACGACAGAAAGAGAGTTTTAAAAATCACTGCAGCTGTTTTGTTCCAGAGTGTGATCGTGTGTGTGTCTGCAGGAGTAGACCTTAAAGAATAACGGGTGGGCCGACAATGAAAAATCTCCAGGAACAAGGAGCTAATGAGTCCATCTGACCATACCATACAATAATGTTACTGCCTGCAACTTAGCTTACTGTGACTCCTTTGGCCATTATATAACACACACAGCACACACCACATTGCTGTAGGAAAGTGAAAAAATGCAAATCCTTCTTTTACCTGTACGCCTGTCTCACAGGACCCTTAAGCCTATTTTTAACCACTGCACAACATACCAGAGGCTTCACCTATTATACTCAACTATAAAAATCAAGGCACAAAGAGCAGCACAAGGAATTACAAATCGTGTCCATCAAAGTCTGAACACTCCAGCACAGCAGGTGAACAGTTTTATTCGTCCCATGAGATCCCACCCCTCCTCTCTCCCAAGTGAAATATTTTATTAATAAACATCAGTCAGAAATGGATGGTAGACGAATTCACGTTGATTAATTAACAACCCCTAAAATAACTTATGCAGCACAAAGCAAACAAGCCCAGGCAGTTTGATAAACTGGCACGGCACTTCAGTTGTGCTGCGTGTTAAAATGACTCGGTTACACAAGACGGGCAAATAAAGAAGTGCCATTAGAACAAGCAGCTCGTGTTGATGTTGACGCTTCAAAAGCAGGGCTTGACATATTCCTGAAAGGGCATTGTATTATGCACACTTCACACCCCCACTGAGAGAAGGTTAGAGGATGCCACGTGAGGATGATAGCAGTAATAAACAGCTGTTACGGCCGTGATCCCATCCTTAAACCTCTATAATCAGGATTGCTATAAACAGCATGTTATGTACATTCCCCCATAAATGCTCGCAGCAGATTACAGTGGCTGTGAAATGCAGGCAGTGGCGAGATATAGATTTGTTTTCAAACAAGCTTTCAAATAAACAGTGAGAGATAAAGAAAGCAAAGATGCAACACCCTTCAGCACGCCGAGCTCCACCGTCAGATCTGTGATGTGCTCTCTCTGCAGTGAATGCATGAACTTCCAGCATTCCTGAGAGAAATTTTCTGGCAGACATGCAGTCGCTCATACATGGAGGAGCTGAGCTTAATCCCTTAGTTCTGTGTGAGCTGCATAATAGAAACAAATGTATTCCCTCATGTGCAGAGGGCATGGAGAGAGGTATCATCTGACAGTGGTACTATATCACTCTGAACGCTTGAGAACTAAAGGGGCTTATTCTTACCTAACAATAAACTTATTTTAAGCAGATTAATCTGTCAATATTTTGGTATTGTCAGATTATCGGCAGGATTTTCTGCTTTCAAATAATTTTGAGTGATTCATAGTAAATACTGTGTATAGCAAATTCTTCTTTAAATTCACCAATTTTGTACATTTTATTGTCACTAAAATTGTACTTGTTCTGACAAAGAGTATGCAATGCTGACCATTTTGCTCTTTGTATACTCCGAGTAATATCTCATGGAATTTGTTTGCTGCCTATATAAACGCAATGAGACCTGCGTATGGTCATATTTATAGTTTTTGACATGCCTGAGCATAATGCATCGACACAGGTCTAAAAGAGCCCTACATGATGAGCGTGCAACATACCTGCGATTTATGCTGCTGTCCATCCTCGAGTTCTGAAACACTGTTCATGATTTTCCATCGATCATTTACCATTCTCTGGAATCCTTACCATCTGAGAGTTGATTTCATGGGCATGAGGAGAGAACGGGACTGTCAGTCTTAAATTCCAGCATCCAAGAAAAAGAAAAGGGAGACAACACAGCAGTCTACGGG